ATACAGTTATTTATTCTGTGTGCCTGTGCAAATTCTCAGTCATTCAGGTCATGGCAACCACAGTTGTCATGCAGGCTTAAATTGGAACCAACTGGACTTTCGCTCAGATTTTCTGCAAACGTTTTGACATCTATCCAGGATTGCTAATAGTTTAGTGACCAGGCAACTACTGCCAACAATACAAACTTATACCAGTGTATATCTCTCCATTCTTTCTCTTCAGACCCAGTAGGAAATATTCAAGATGCTGTTTCTGTAAATATTTTCAAGAGAACTGAGTCATCACAAGTTCAAACACATGTTTTTTTTTGTTTGTTTGGTTTTTTAACAGTCGCTTATAACTAAATTTTTCTATAGAGCAATTTAACTAGATGGAAAACTTGGTATTGGTGCTGGAGCTCACAAATTTTTTTTTCAACAGCTGACATAGAAAAAAAGCAGATTTTAATTCTGACTTTTAAACTATGGAGTAGTAATGATAACATAGGATCAGTAAAGGATTTAAATATTCTTCCAATGTGAAAAAATGGTTCTTCTGATGGTTGTTTTGTGATTGTAATTATTCTGTTTATTTTTGTTTTTCCAGTCTAGTTTATGGATGAAACTTTCGCTGCGCATAATTTTATGTAGTCCTTTGCAAAATTATATCATATCTCAACAGTCTAACAACTTAAAGAAAAGTAAAAGTAAGTCATGTGCATCTGTTCCTACCGAGGGGTTTGTTCATTGCGATGTTACATGGTTCCCTTAAAACATCAGAGTGCTGACAAACAGGCAGAGAGGAATCTTGCTTCGTTAGTTTGCTGTCAACATTATAGACAGCGGTTGCAGATATTAGCAGTTTGCAGGCGCTGTGTCACTGCGAGTGGGACAGAGAACAGAAACTTTTCTTCCATGTTTGATATCTCGACAGGAAAATTAGTCACAAAGTGTCAGCTGACTTGGAACTTTATTAAAAAGCAAGTAATTGAAACTGAGAGGCAGAAATACAATATTGCCATAAATCAAAACGTGCACATCCTGCTCTGTGCTCTATACTGTGGTTCTCTACTGTTAGCGACTTCTCCTACTGTTTGATGAATCCAAGCCAGTGTAACACAGTAGATGAAAAACACAAAAGCAGAGGGAGAAGATCCAGCTGCGCACCAGGCGGGCTGCAGACCTACTGCATGGCTGAGCAGCTTTATGCTCAATTCGTACTGCATCCTGTTAGGACTGTTCATGCTGAGGAAGATCAGTCAGGTAACTTGTAGAAAAAAGGCCCAACAGTTCAGGATTTCCTTTAAATCCTTCGGTTGGAATAAATCTGCCAAAGCAAGGCAGAAAAGTAGTAATTTTATTCAACAGCATATTTTGGCTCATAAAAAGGGCCTCTCTGCTGTCTCTCCTGCACATCAAACAGTGAATTTTGAGCTTATGAGTTCGGCCCAATACCTCTGAATGCCAGAAAGCAGAGCCTTGCTGCGCGAACGTGCAGAATATCCTGTACTACTGGGAGCTGGAAGACAGATGCTGGATGTGCAGCAGAGAAGCAAAGCGGAGTCATATGGGACAAAGACTCTTTGATGAGCTGATCTTCTCAGGGCTAAAGTCACGACTGGGTTAGCTGGAGGGAGGGGTTGAGGGGCTTTGGATGAGAAATTGTGCAGACACTGAATAAATAGTCAAATCTGAGTACCAAATATTAATTCAGATCTGATTATTTTGTGTAAACAAAAGAGTACATTTAAAGAACCTATTTGTGGGAATTGTACAGAAAAAACACTGAAAATCAACAGATCTACGGTTGAATTCCACTCAAAATTGAAAACAAAATTAAAACGAATAAATCAGATTGAGTTGAGGGCATGAAATAGACTCAATTGTTGTTAATATTTCATCTCGGAGATTTCCATGTCATCCGTAACTCGCCCCAAATTACATTTGAGCTTGGAGGCTGTCCACATTGCTCCACGTGTATTCTGCAAAATGATCCTAGCTGAAACTGAACTCTGCTGGAATAACTGCCTCCATGGTTCCTGCAAGGCCATGTTTATGACTATTACAGATTTAATTACCACTATTCACATTTATTCATCCATGAATTGTTAGTTGATCTTTGAGAATGTTTTACAATGTGAACCATATTTCTGGTGTTTGGGGTACAGCAAGGGGAAGTGTAACTCAATCACTCCTTTTTACCTCCTCCACCCCTCCACCTCATCCTCTACATGAAGAGGTGCCAGATGTATATGATGGTTCTCAATATATATATATATATATATATATATATATATATAAAGCTTCTTTAAGTATTGAACCACTGTTTTATCTAAATATTACAGCTAAATTAAAGTTACTGCACAAAAACAAACAGCAAATCCCCCTAACAGGATCCAAATAAACTAACATCTGTGCCTCCAAGTAGTCTAATTTATTTTTGAAATAGGGCCGCAGTATCAAAGGCCTTTGTCTCAATGACTCTGAGCAATAAAATCCTGTTTGGGAGCAGCGGAAAAAAAGAACACAGAATGGTAATACACATGCCCTTGTGTGATGTGGCACTGAGAAAAGTTTCAGTGGGTGACTGATGGGTAATTAGGGTGGGGTGGGTGATGGGAGCTGGCTGCCATGCAGAGCCTCACGGAGGGTAGAGGATGCCCTCTACAGTAGAGGCGAGAGGGATAGCACCCTTTCTTGAAATAAAAAAAAAAATTTTCTGTAATATTGTGTTTATATGACGTCCTTCCTATTTTATTTAAAAAGTGATCATAGCTGTAATTACTTATTTATCAGGGCGGTATCAACAGCAGCGATGAGAAGAGCAACATACCCATCTAAAATGTAACAAAAATATGTATTTGGTGTCTTTTTTATGCAGTTTATGTACCTTGGTCTTGATGTTTTGATGGTGAGATATATGTATTTATCAGATTTTGTACAGCTTTCTTTAAGATTTTAATTTTTTTATATATATTCTTTTTAGATGCTTGAAAGTTTTCTTTATTATTTTTCTTTTCCTGACGCCTGTTGATCAATAATAATAATGTGTGAAAAAACATGCCTTTTTTGTTTGTTTGTTTTTTATAAACATTAATGTCTTTATCTTATTTTTTTCATATTAAAACTGTAATTTATATTTTTTGTTTTAGAAGTGTTTTTTCTTACTTAGATTTTCATTCATTTAATTGCTTTTGAAGAAGAATTTTCCAAGGGATTTAATTAATTTATTTTTGTTTTCGAATTTATTTATTAATGTTTTCAATAGCAGGAAAATTACGATTTAAAATCCACCATCTTTATAGAGAGATACTGTCTGTATTTAACAAGAGAAGTAACAACAGTAATATATAAAATGCGCATGCCTTTATTTATAGATGTCCCATAAATATTCCAACAGAAAATGGCCCCTGTGTGATTTGCTCTGTTATCGTTGTTACGGGGTTATTAGCCACAATTCTTTTTTTTTTTTTTTTTTTTTAGGAATTATAGTTGAATTTATCTTTATTTTTACCCAAATGTATGCATAGCTGTATGTGTTTCGGAATTTTAAATCATGTTTCTTTTTTACCGCATCAGTAAAATGGAAAGACAAATAATCGGAGTCAGAATTTCTTCTTATATTTTGTTGTTAAAAGAAATTAAGTACGTCTAAAATATTCTCGTGCCTAATTTGGGCTTCGCAAAATAAAAAAAAAATAAAAAAAAACATGGTTTCATCTTTCAGTACTGCGTGCATGTGGTTTCGTTTTCTCCTAATGAAACGCGTATGTAATTTATTTAACACATCTTGTGCCCCAAAAAAATAAAAAAAACTGGGTGAGCAAGTTGTATTTTGTTATGAGCGACCTTTGTAAAGGCGGTTGCCAGGTGGATGGGGATGATTCCAAGCAGAATACCTGCAGCTCCACCTGCGCAGCAGTTCTCTCCAAAGTGAAACCTTACTCCTGCTCATCCACCTTACTCACCGCTCTCCGGTGACTCAGCGGCTCCAGCCTGATGGAGCTCGCTCAGAAGCGCTCCTTTAAGGCGCACATTATCAGCGCGCACAGTATCGCGTTAACACAACTGGAAATGACCACCTCTGACGTTAAAAGCGCACTGACCGTCCAGAGGAGCGGTAACATGTCGGTACGTACAGTAGGTGTCTAACATTTTAAGGAAAGGTATAGGCGCTGAACAAACAGCTGTCCAGGGCAGAGCGTATAGAGAGGCGTGATAGATCGCCGATCTCCAGACACCACGTGTTGGAGTCGCATCAGCGCAATAATTACTGAGGCGCTCGGGCTATATAAACCACAAAACGCCTGCGCACGGGGAACCCCGGCCTCCAAACACTAACCACATTCACGGCCACAAAACGGGATTCGTTTTCCCCTCCTCCTTCATCTCACCGGCGATCATTCCTCTTTCCCCCCTCTCTCTTTTTCCTTTCCTCGGGCTTTTTAACCCTATATACAAAACCCGCTTCTCGGCCGGAAGACTTCCAGAAAGATTTGTTGAATTTGCAGGCGTCGCGGGATTATAAATAGGCTTGTTAAGTATTGTTGAGGCGTAATCTTTTCACTTTGAAACTTTTTTTTTTATGTGTACATAGCCTGCGGGTTCTCAGAGCGCTTTTCAGTTTGGCACAAAGACTTCAATGACGCACCTGGAGGAGCGCTTTGACTTTTAACCAAAGGAAGGCAGACAAAAAGCGCTTAGACCGTCTGGTTTGGCTGAATAGCCTAGTGCGCGTTCGGAGATTTATTTGGTGTTATTGCAGTCGCACATGTCGGTGCGCTCTTACGTTATGGCACTTGGAGTCCTCCCTGGAAAAAGCTCTTGTTGAAGGAAATACATGTTTTAAAGATTTTTTTTTTCTTTGCTGTCGAGAGTTTTAGAAAAAACGTTGTGCGCTCCACCGAGGTAGAGAGCGTCTCTCTGAGCGTGTGTGAGAGAAAGAGAGCAAGAAAAGAGCCCGGCAGCCCCTCTGTGCGCTTTTCTCTAAATCCACGGTGTTGTGATGCGAATTCCCGTAGATCCCAGCGCCAGCCGGAGGTTCAGTCCGCCGTCCAGCAGCCTCCAGCCGGTCCCAGGGAAGATGAACGACGTCAGCTCCCCGGCCGGCCAGCCGGACGCGGCGGCCACCGTGCCGAGGCTACGTCCCCCGCATGAGAACCGAAGCATGGCGGAAATTATCGCCGACCACCCGGCCGAACTGGTGCGCACCGACAGCCCCAACTTCCTCTGCTCGGTCCTGCCCTCCCACTGGCGCTGCAACAAGACGCTGCCTGTCGCCTTCAAGGTGAGCTAAGACAGAGAAATGTGTTACTGAATTGTAAGGAATCCCAGTAGCTGCCTTATATTATCTAACTAATTGACTTTGACTGTTATTTTTAATCATAAGGATTAAAGCGCGTTTTAAACGTGAGATTATGATTATTCTGTTGCGACCTGAACTGGACTTAAATTTGCATTCTGTATTATTAAACATGCATCGGACCTGTAAAGGCCAGCATTTGATGTAATCTGTATATAAATAAACAATGCTATAAATATACAATGGAAAGAAGTTCACTTAGGTTTATCCCGAGGCCTTATTGAAAGCTTTTTCTTATTTATCATAACCCATAATTATGAAACTTTAAAATATATTTCTATATCTCAAATTGCAAAAAAAAAAAAAAAAAAAAAAAAAATGGGATAAAACAATCCTCAGAAGTCACCATCGTTTCTTTAAATTCCGCCCAAGAATGAAGTTTTATTTTTCATTTGTTATTATTATGACGTATTCATTCATCTGTTAGACTTTTTCCAATAAATGAGCTAAATCTCATTGTTAATTTTCAAAATGATGTAGTAACAAAATAACTAGTAAAGTACCAACTGAATAAAACATATTTAAAAAAAAAAAAGGAGAAAAACAAGTTCAATGGAATCCAAATTTTTTCTATGGATTTTTAAAAACAGAAATAGCAACAATTATCCCTCCTTAGGATTTTTATACTTTTATTTTGAGTCTTTCAAGATTGGTTAAAAAATAAATAAATCTTTCTACTGTGTTGTTAGTCTGTCCAGCTTAGTGGCCTGTAAAGCAACAGGTGGGGGGTGGGGAGGGGGTTACCCATCCTTCATACAGCTAGAAAAAAAATCAGTTTTTTCCTGCAGGTTTTTTAGCATCACATAAAATGAACACATGTTTTCAGAACAGAGAGAAACCTCTTCAAAAGTCTCTTAATCTTAATGCTAATCTTTCTATTCCAGGTTTTGAATTATAAACTACTGCTAATGTAATGGTTCTTTTTTTAAGTAATATGTGTTTACTACCTCCATATTTTAACAATTTAAAGTATCAGTCTTTATTATAGCATATCACTGGGGAGTTTGAGTTAAATTACACAATAAAACTAAAAAAAAAAATAAAAAAAATATATAAAAGCCTTCATGAGTGATGTATTTAATATTTTGGAACATTTATTTGCTCCCCCAATAGTTTACAGATAAAAAAAAAATACGTCCCTTTAATTTAGTGACTTATTATTCAAAGGGTAGATCAAAGCCCCCTCATTGGAAATGTGTAGCTGAAACTCTGGCTTGCAATTAAAAGTGACACTTTTTGAAATATAAGTGTTATTTCCCCTGTCCTTATTATGAGGGACTCTGTAATTATTGCGGGGCTTTGCTCGTCTTCTTTTATCTGCATCCAAGAAGCTAAATGATAACACCAGGCCTCTAGGCTCAAGATGGTTAACATCATAACGTTTATCTTGTTGCAAGAATGGTTCAGAGGGATAAATTAAACTCATTTATCATCATAATTTGGAGGAGGATGGCATGACGGGAAATAATAACAGACGAGCTGTTTGAACCGAAATATTCTTCTAGATTTTAACATCTTAACTGTTTTGCTATCACTTTCTTGTGTTTCCTCGACAGGTGGTTGCCCTGGGGGATATACCTGATGGGACAGTTGTTACTGTGATGGCAGGCAACGATGAGAACTACTCCGCCGAGCTCCGGAACGCCTCGGGCATGATGAAGAATCAAGTAGCACGCTTCAACGATCTTCGGTTTGTGGGCCGCAGTGGCAGAGGTGAGGCCTTAGGCTCTCTCCACTCTCACTCCTGCAGCTTGCAGGGAGCCATTAGGGTTCAGTGGTGAGGATTAGTGGCCACATTCCCAAAGTGGCAACCACATAATGATCTCCCTAACTCCAGGGGCTAAATCCTACAGACCATCTCCTTAACTCCTCCCCCCACTTTCAGCCCTTAAAGGAATAGTACACCCAAAACATGATTAGCCTTCATTTTCTACTCACCCCCATGCTGAACAAAACTCTGGAGTACTTTTTTGATATCTCAAATGCATCTGGAGATTTGGGAGGCTTCTTGCTGTCTGCTGACATTCAAATAATGGAGGTCTATGGCGCCCGAGACAGAAAGGTCCACAAAAGTCCACAAAAACGTGTCAATATTCCTCCATACTGCTCGTCCAATGTAATCCAAGTGTCCTGAGTGGGTAGCATCCAGAATTTACTCGAAACGAAGTCATTTAGAACGTTTTAGAGCCTAAACAGTAGTGTATAGGATTTCCTAATAGCGCCCCCATGCGCGCTCACGATTCTACGGAAGCCGGCAGACCAAACCGGAAGAAAGTGCGCATTCAGCGTCTGCTCTGCCGATAATGCAAGCGTAGAAGAAGAAATGTGCTGTTTACCTGTGCAAAGAAAGAAACAACGAAAGAAAAATGTCTGAGGACTTCAGTGTTGAGGAAGAGCATGAGTTCTTTGCCGAGCTGAATGCGCTGGTTTGGTCTGCCGGCTTCCGTAGCGTCGTGAGCGCGCATGGGGGCGCTATTAGGAAATCCTATACACTACTGTTTATGCTCTAAAAACATTCTAAATGACTTCGTTTCGAGTAAATTCTGGACGCTACCCACTCAGGACACTTGGAATACATTGGACGAGCAGTATGGAGGAATATTGACACGTTTTTATGGACTTTTATGGACCTTTCTGTCTCGGGCGCCATAGACCTCCATTATTTGAATGTCAGCAGACAGCAAGAAGCCTCCCAGATCTCCAGATGCATTTGAGATATCAAAAAAGTACTCCAGAGAGTTGTTCAGCATGGGGGTGAGTAGAAAATGAAGGCTAATCATGTTTTGGGTGTACTATTCCTTTAAAATGAGACTTCTTTATAGTTTAGCTTTTAAAATAAGCAGAGCAGCTTTTGAGATGCAAAACATTAAGCTATTTTTCATTTCATTTATTTATTTATTTTTTATAAAGAAGCAATTTTTTCATTTTCTTTTACCTTACATAACCTCAGCTCAGTTCTGACCCATTAACATGCTGGGTGGTGCGGCAGCTCTAACGGCTGATCTTTTTTTTTTTTTGCCCACATCCTCAGGCTGCTGGAGTGAAACAAACTCCTGTTCAGTCCAATAACATTCCCGGAATGTTTGGCATCACTTAACGATACTTCAAATCACTCACTGCTCCCATAACCTGTGCGTAAATCATTTTATTTACTGTATGACACTTGGCACTCACAACTTTCTCCCTATTCTCTGGAACCCTTGTTTTTTTTCCCCTTCAAAGACTCCAGATAACTGTTGCCGCAGATAAACTGATTGTAGGTTGTAGATTGTAGATGCTCAAGCTGTCAAAAAGGGAGGAGAGTGTGCTGAACACATCAGTACAGGTTGCCACGGAAACCTTTCCTTGTGTCACTTTTGCTGTGACACAGAATCTACTAACAGGAAGTGACATAGGAGCCAGGAGGGTAGATCAGACTACGAGGTGTCTGAAATGAATACCCCCCAGTGACAGATAAGTACAAGCAGAGAGAACTGATAGCATGTTAGATAGCTAAAAGTCATGCCCAGAGTGGTGGGCGGAGCCAACCGGGATGGACAATGATGGTTTTTAGGCTTGATGTGGGTCACAAAATTAAACATTAAACATCACAAAATGTAAAAATAGTTTAGGGAAAAAACAACAAGAAAAAAATGTTGACCATTGGTATTAGATTAAAAGTGTTGCAGATGAATATCCTAATAACAGGAACGCAGGTACTGTATTCCTTCTCTGTATTCCTTCTCTATTTTTCACATATTGTTATTTTATATCTACATGCTTTTGTTTAAAACCCCAAAAAAATCTTAGAAGTGCGGCATGCTATCGTATTTAGTCAAGTCTAAGCTCTGCAAGTCCATCTCCACATCTAAAATGTCTTTTTATCAATGTCTACAAACTATAGAATGAAGTTATTACATTTTTTAGTAAAATAGCACAAGTTCCATAAGAATAGAGGAAGAACTACTGTCAAAAGAACAGTAGTCCCAGTCTGTGTAAAAAAGCCACTTACACTGACTGCTTTGGCCCAGCTTAGACTGTAGCTGCAGAAACGGTGCTTGCAAGACAATAAGTTATACTATTAATATCCTTTTTCATCCTCCAATAGCCCATCTATTTTCTCATGTTTCTGTTTTGCTGCTTTGCTGCACTTGCCAAGCTAGCGTAAATTGGTCAGTCAATTCTATTTTGAAAATCAACCAAACTTTTTCCACTCTAGTGCCTAACTTTTCCTGTTTGGCTTAATGCTAAGGCACTTTCCTTCTTGCAGAATTTTCCAGAGTACCATATAACCTCTGGTAACTGCACATACACTGGCTAATCTGAGTATACACATTGATTTTAATTATTTGGGTATTTGCAGTGCCCGCATTCCAGCTACATGGTTGGTGATGATGAGCCTGGTGTTAGTGTCACCATAGTGCTTAAGGCCTCTTACCAATTATGGCTAGCTCGCGATTATCTGCTGTTTTTTTTTTTTTTTTTTTTTTTTTTTTTTTAAGCAATCCCAGACCATGATGCTGCCACCACCATCTTTCTTTCTACCCATTCTTGCTGGATGGTGCTCTCCTTGCACAGCTTGTCATACTAAGTGAAATCTGTTGTGATCAGTTTTAAAAGCATGCCACACTTTTCAGATTAAATCTTTTGAAAAAACAAGAACAAAAACCATTTCATCATTCCTCTTCACCTTTATGCTGTATTGGTGTATTGTATCATATCATGATACGATATATTGAAGTTTGAGATTTGTCAGAATAGGATGGTGATGCAGAGGGTGTTTATCTCACTGCTCTCTGGTGCACCTTGATGGAGCCATGTGGGACAGTTGTTGCTTGTATTGCATGTTCCTTTAAAGCTTAAAAGTGAGACAGTGGACGGTCCAGACCTATAGAGGCTGCAAGCGAAAGGGTAGCTTCTTGGTTGAGCCGCTGTTGCTGTCTCCTCACTCTCTCCCCCTTCTTCCTGTTTCCCACTTACAGCCATGCTTGCATGGCGCGTCTGCATACCTCAGAAGTTAGTGTAGCTGCTGACTTGGCTGTTGTGATCCGATTCACAGCATTCCTTGTGCATGAACATACAAGCAGTCAACCCCAAGGCAGCAACTGCTGGGGATTATCGAGAAAGGAAGTGACTATTAAAATGCCTCTCGCCTACTCACACGGCATTAGAAATCCTTGATAATGAAATATCGACTCCTTTAGTTCAGTTCTATAAAACTAACCAAGCAGAGCTTTTCAGTTCAGTTTTCTTTTAATCACCCGTAGGTGACATTTTCCTTCTTATGTGACCAATAAAAACACTTTTGATAGAGATAGATAGAGATAAATACCAGACATTGTCTTTGCAGATGCCATATCCTTTGATCTTCTTTGATGTCACCACAGGCAAGAGCTTCACATTGACAATCACGGTATTCACCAACCCACCACAAGTGGCAACGTACCACCGAGCTATAAAGGTCACCGTGGATGGACCTCGTGAGCCCAGGAGTGAGTACTGATGCATGCACTTGTAGCACAGAAAGAAACTATGATTGAACAAGCTTAAAATTAAAGAGTAGCTTGTCTTTTATTAATCCTGAAATATATATTCAACATGCAAGAAACAGAAAAAAGTGAGCACTACATTACCCATAATGCCACTAAGATAGAAACTTGCAGCCCTGAAGTATTTAAAGATCATATTGTAGATCTGACTTAAAGGTATTGTGGAGGATTTTTTAAAAGACCCACCTTCTCCACTCCAAAAAAAAAAATGCTTGTGCAAGAGCATGCACGAGCCCCTTTGTCCTCGTGCACATCTTGCTTAAAATGTGCTGTTCTCATAGCTCATACAAGCTTACTGTGTCCACATACAGCAGAAACTATATAGTGGACTTTATAGCAAACTCCCATAATGCGTGGAGAGATCTCCTCGTAAAGCAATGTTGGATATATCTGCCTCTTCTGAGGCCTTTCTTTTCTACTCATACGCTTCGTAGACACTTTTTCTCTTACCACCCTCGGCCATTTTCAAAGAAACGCGATGAGAAAGCTGAGCTTCAATGATTGTCTGAAACTGTAGCTCACCACACATATGTGGCTAAAAGTGCACATGCACAGTAAAAGATAGTTAACAGTGCAAGCATGTAAATGTATCACCAGAATGATTGACAGTTAATAGGACCACTTATTTAGATGATCCGCCCAAAAACAAAAGATCGTGCTCTATACCTTAGAATTGCTGATTTTGTTTTAAAGAGGTTCTGTGAAGTTATGAATAACAGGTCTGTTAAATGCTGTCATAAGATGCTATGACTGTTAATTTGTGAAATGCAGCAGAAACACTCAGAGTGATAAAACAGCTAGCTAGATAAATGCCCCTGCTTTAGCTGCTTTTTGAAACCACTGAAACTAAAACACTATGACTAAGATTTACTATCCACTCTTTCATAAGCGCAACGATTAAAAGTGTCAAAAATGAAAAGCTGCAAACTGAGAGTCTTTACTGAGCCTTTAGCATGAAGCAATCGTAGGATTTTACTCCCTTAATTTTGACCCAAAGAAACCTGATTGTTGCTGGTGGTCAGTCTCTTTTAATTGTTTGAGTAATTTGAGCCAAACACTTCTTCACCTCTGAGTTGGTTTTCAGTCCAGCCATCTTCCTTCAGTTGGATCCTTTACACCATGTAACCAACCAACAATGCATCCGTCCATACCAGCCAAGATTTATATTTTATATCTGAAAGGAACAGAATCTAAATTGGCTTATAAGTTTTACTTTTAACAAAGTCTATGGAAATTCTTTCTGACATTCCACAAACTAGATACAATGCAAAGAAAATCTGCCATGGCATTGATAGGTTAGGATGCAGGAAGCTCAGAAATGTTAGCAGTCTGGACTAAAACCACCTGATTCTTCCTATAAAAACACATGTTTAGCTACCATTATTGTATAAACAGCATCCTTGGGAGAGAAAAAAGACTGAAAAGATATTATTTTACTAATTGTGGCAATTTAGGACAATCAAATCTCAACCTCTCTTAACCTCTTACACTGGTAAAATGTTTAACACTATGGGCATGTTAGACATCGTTGGAAAGCTTAGATTCTCCACAATTCAACCTCCTTGTTCATTTTATGGACATACTGAGCACCATAGCACAATTAACACAGATATAGCAGCATGTCAAAATGTAACATGAGAAAGCAACCACAACAAGCAAGCATGTCTTTATAACTGCTGTTCAAAAAAGACCTATTATTTTCGAGAATAAAAAAAAACAAATTTGAGTGTTGTTTGAACTGACGCAGCTTGGTCTGTGATTTACTCACCCAATTTTCATGTATATATACAGAAACTAGAAGGTGTTAGCTTTCAAATAACGTATCACACATGTAATTTGGGCTTACAGTTCCTAAGTTATTTGGTTTTCCATTTGGGTATACAAAATAGGCGGGAATTTCCCAAAATTAGGTGGATATTAAGAGATTAAATAATTATGCCTGTGGGTAGGAATGCAATATTAGCAAAAATCAAACTTTAGTGCCTCCGGGTGGACTTTTTTTGTACGGTCACAACTAGGTTTTGTAACACAAAACATAATAAAAGATAATATATAATTGTTGGGAATGAAGGCAATTAAAATTTTGTAATATATTGGCGTTTTATGGAGGTTATTTAATTTCTAATGTCTCTTAAAATAGCAACAAAAAAAAATTTTGCCCCACCATGACCTGATGTTAGCCTCACACCATCCTTTTTTCTATGTACTGGACAGATCTTTTAAAAGCCTTAGTTTTTCGTTTTGCACAAAGTGAACTGTTGACACTAAAAAACAACAGACTGGCCCTGCAGCTTAATTATATGAGTGTGCTAATGGAGCCAGTAAATGCTAAGCTAAAATGATGAGTGTAAACAAGGTGTTTTAGTTGTAAAGTATGAAATGTGTAAAGCAATAAGGAGTAGGATGTTAAATAAAGATGAACCACTGTTCAGTTTCCTTTCTTACATAAATGTGAGACAAAGTATTCCTGAAAGGGTACTCTGGGTAGCAGAGTGCTAGCATCAGCTCATTTTAATGGCCCATATAAAAACAACTGAGGAGGAAAAAAAAAAAACTTTACTATAGACAGCAGTGCCAACTGGTCTGGCATGCAGCTGTTTCCACAACCCTCCTCCCTATTCATAAAAAAATATATTCTCATCTCAAGGCGTCTCAATGAACAATATCACATCACAAACAATCCACCCACCCGCCTACCCGGTCACATATGGCACCAGGACACAGAGGAGCCAGGAGACAGTAGGATTACTACCACCATCACTCAGTATTGTAGGAAATTTGCGTTCCGTGCCAAAAAAACGCCTCACGCACACCCGGCAGTCAGCAATCACAGACATGGCGCCCCGAGACAAAGGCACATGCTTGTCCTCGAGCGAGCATGCACTGGCAATCACGCCCACTTTATCCCCCACCTCCCATTCTCACTCATGTTTGATCAAAAGCATTTCCTGTGCATCTGCTGTCCCCCGTCAGAGGACTTTCAAACAAGTCTCATTACTTGGTGGCGAGCAGATGGGAGTCGGAAATGAGTTTGTTTAGAAAACCTGAGCTGATTTAAATAGAAGTGAATTACTGCACACAAGGAATACATGTTCTGTTATTTATAAAGTGAAGGGATGCTGGGATGATAGTTTTTCTGTTCTACGGGCTGCGTTGTTTGCTTAGTTTGTTGTTTAAAAAAGTTGCTAAACTGGTTGGGAAAAATATTCCCAACCAAAATGCAGCGCACATTTCTATCCCATCAGTTATTACTGTTTGCTGCAAATATTGACCGAGGTAAAACTCTAATAGCTTTATGCATTTAGAGGAAATGTTCAAAAATTGGTCTGGACTTTCTAACACATGAAAATGCTTTGTTCCAACCACTATCTGATGCAGCCTCTCACAGATTTTCCCTTCCTTCATTTTGCTCCATGACCCTGTCCCTACTGGAGACATGGAACCCCCCCACTCCATACATAATGCTCCCACCACCATGTTTTCCCATGGGGGTGCTGTGTTCAGACTGATGTACAGTGTTCGTTTCAAGCCACACACAGCGTTCTGCATGTAGGCCAAGAAGCAGATTTGTGGTCTCTTTTAAATTCTGTGTCCCATGTATGTATTACTGTCTTCAACAGCTTTCTTTTTACAACAGCATATACACTATCTCTATCTCTTTGTAGATTTGCAGATGGGCTGTAATATGTTGATTTTGCATGATGGAATAGTGGTTCAGTTTTTGGGGATGCTATATCTTGTTCTGACTCTTTTTTTTTATCATCTCCATTACTTCCTCCCTGATTTGTCTGCTGTTTTTCAGCCTTCATGACATTTCTTCACAAATGTTCAATCATAAACCTTTTGGAGCATTCAGAGAACAGATGTATTCATGCACAGATTCAGTGATGACTACTTATGTGACATCTAAAGGAATTTGCTCAATTTATTCAGGGGTACAACAGTAAAGGGGCTGCATAAAAATGGAAACCCCCTCAGATTTAACCCTGTAACAAAACTATTTTTTCAACGTTATGCTTTTGCAATAATTGTATGCTGTTTGTGGTACTAATGCTAAAGACTTTAGGGAGTATGGACACTTTTGCGAGGCTCTGTAATTGAATCATAAAGGCTGTGTCATCCTACATAACCTCTGAACCTTTTTGCTTTGTTGTTAAGTGGTGAAAATTACCATGGTGGTATAATTTGCCCTGAAACTAAAGCCAGAACACATACCCCTCTCAGGGGTCATTATGCTGAGGTCTAAGGGTGGCAAAACACACATGTGCCCTCTTCTCTGGACCCACCCCCTCCTTTTTTGTGATGTCTTTAGCGCCGGCTCCTTGAGCTGAGAGCAGAGGCTGTCTCCAACAGTGCGATTCTCTCTGTGAACGCTTCATTGAGACATGGGGGGCTTTGTCAGCCATTACAGCTCTTATTTTGTGTTAAACGAGCAGGTAATTAGGAGGCCTGTAGTACATGGGGCCCCTACAGGGAGGGGTCAGTGCAGGAGAGGAAACAGTAGGCTGTCTTAGGGTTGACATACACTGGCACTTTATGGCTCTCTGCTGTCAAAACACTGTGTTGTTTTTGGAAAATGGGCTGACAAAAACCCTGGATTTCAACATGTGGTGTTGGCCGGTCTGGAAAGTAAAAATAGAAGAACATTCTTGATTCTTTTATTGATTTCATTTTAACACTTTGTAGTTTTATGAACTTTTTATTAATAGCTCTTTTTGTGGGTGTCTTTCAGGAAGGACATTTTGTCCCTGTGTTTGATAAGCCTTATGGTTGCCATATGAGTCCTCCTGACGGATGTTGTTTCCCCCCATGGTCCGCCGTCTAATATCTGGGGAGGAAAAAAGCGTTGGACCACCCATGAATGAATGGGCCTCGTATCTCCGCGCAGTGGAGGCTGAGCATGAGTTAATTAATTGCGTGGTCAGAGTGATGAATATTAGAGA